ACACATCCTAGAAAGTGAAGTTTATCTACTTCAAATACGCACAAGTGAGATCCTGGCATAGAGAAAGCAACAACTCCAGATGGTATCTGAAAGATAAAAGAGGAATTCAACCTGCAGCTGGAAGAAAAAACGCCCACGTCTAACCTTGCCAGTAAGAGCAGGTATGTTCATGGAGTTGGTTGCAAAGCCCATTCCAAAGGCCATGGCTGACTCCACACCCAGGAACCTCGCCGTCAGTTTCTCCATCTCCTCGTGTCTGTCCAGGTTACCTGAGGTCCAGAGAAACGTGTTCAAACACCTGAACCTCTCAGAGATTTATGTCTGATGTCGTGTGAATAAAGAGTAAATCGTTTATCATTACTGGTCAAAGAAAATGAAGCCAAACAGTCACAAGGTCAACAAGTCAGGCTTTAATATTTGGCAGCCTCGTCCCTTTAAAGCTCTCAGGAAACACTGAGAAAGCCTTGTCTTTATGGATACTCACTGTACAGTACAAGTACACAATATTAGATTTACAGCCCACATTTAATGCAGTTAAAGAGCTGCCTTACAGTTCTACTCTCATAAATCTGCGGTAGGAAATCTAGATTTTATCAAACTTCCTCTGCAGTCAGATTTCAGCACAGTCCTGAAGAACAAAGCAATTTCATTCCTCTTACAGCTTTAGATCATTCATGTTTCTTCTGTGGGTTTTTCAGCACGTTCTGCATCTCATTCTGCAATTTTTGTACCATTTCAACAATTCATAAACAAAGTTTCAACTTCAAGACATGCTGGCTGTGACATTTTGTATTTCAGCAATTTTTAGTTTGAGTTGCTTTGATTTTTCTGCCATTTTTGTTCTCACTGAAAATGAGAACAAAAATCTATTGGAGTACTTAAATATTTCCTGCACTTTCATTTTTTGTTCTGGTCCTGATTATTTTTTATTCTTTGTCACAATTTTAGCTTCATTCAGCTGCTTTCTGTATTTATTTTTGCTAATTTTTTTCTTTTTCCTGCTTCTTCAGCTATATTTCTGCTCTTTTCAGACATTCTGCTAACTAATGTTCTATCAGCGTCTTTCTGCACATTTAAGCTTTTTTCACCCGTTTGATGCAATTTAAGCTTCTTTTTAGCAATTTTCAGCTAAATTTCTATTTTTTGWGATAATTTCAGCTACTTCCTACTTAATTCAGTAAACATATGCTCTCATTTCTTTTAGATTTTTAGCTACTTTTYTTCAAATGTCAGCTTATTTGGCTATTTTACAACAAACTGCAAAATTTTTGTTCATCTTTTCTTTTTTTATCCAGCAAATCAAGTTATTTTACAAGTAACATCAGACGATATTATAATATAACATCAGATATAACAACATTCTGCAGCTGTTCAGGTTTGGAKGATGGGCTCACTCACTGCATCTTTGTTGGAACCAGTCTGAGAAACTTTATGGTGATTTCATTTTTGAATATTCAGGCTGTTGACAGGCAGTGACAGCAAAGGAAACGGATGCGTCTGTGTTTTGCTGCGTGTTTGTACCAATTTCCTGCCTGGTGCTCGCCACGCCGACGCCGTACGTCATGGTGACCTTGGCTGCAGCGTCGGCACACAGCCCCGTGTTCTCAGCGAAGCCGAGGTAATTATATGAGCCCAGGTTAATCACATCCTTTACTACCCGGCCTGTGAGTCTGGAAGAAGAGRCACAGCATACAAAGAAAACTATTAGAGTGGAGAAGATAAGGATTTTGGAGGTCTACTGGAGTCTAATTTGAATGAAATCGAAGGCTTATTTACTCTCAAGTTCTGTGGATTTAACATATTTAAAAAGGTTTGAATTAAAACTCCCACTCTCTCACTCAAAGGTCCAGTTGTAGTCRGGGGAGACTCGTTCCATCAGGTCCATCTTGGCTCCAGGGACACTACATATGGGTCTGTTCCAGTTGTCTCGTATCCTCATGTAAAGGTTTCTGGTGTAAAAGTTCTCAAAGTCCTGGTAGAGTGGCACAAAGTCCTGGTCAGGGAGGAACACAGAACAATAAAAAAGGGGAGTTAGAGAGTGCTGGTAGAACATGAAGGACTTTCATCTCAAGTTATGATACTGGAGCTGCATCAGGCTTCTAGAAACTGTAAGCTCAAACCTTTAAAGAAACAAGTGAGAAAGGTTGTTTTAGTTCTTGGGCGAAGCACTAGGGTGRTATTTTCCTTAGCTTTACAAACCACATCCTTAAAACAATGGAGTTCACTATCAAACATTACATAACAAGCTGAACACATTCTGAGAGGCCAAGGACATTTTCATCGTGTTTCACAAGCAACAAAATAAAAAGCTATTTGAAAAATGCACATTGCTCTCAGCTGAGAAGAAAATCTCAGGATTTTTCTTTGACGTTTTTTTTTCGTTGTCGCTTTGAACAATCTGATGCTTTTCTTGAAACAACAATAAAAAATATCTGAGTCTGAACAGATTCTAGTCTCTGAAAAAGAAGCTTCACAGTGAGCAAATTTCACTTTAAAACCAGCATTTCTGTTTTTTGTAGTTCATCATCACCATTAGGGCTGTGTATTGGCAAGGATTTGGCGATATGATACATATCATGACAGAGGGGTCACAATACGATATATCCCGATATATTTC